TAGACCCACAAGGACTAAAATGGAAAGGTGGGTTCACAACATCAGACCCACCAAAATGGAACGTGCTAGGTGGACTCCAAAAACCAGACACACTGCAAAAGCAGATCTGGCAATTGGAAAGCCCATCGAAGATAGATCTTTTGTTGAAAGAGCAGCTGACCTTGGATCACTGCTCAAAGCAAGTTTTAAAAAGGTGTTTCTTGATAATAAGGAAGGACCCACTCCAAGTTGGGTACCTGATCTTATTTGATTGTTTTGCAGGACGGGCATGTGTGGCACTTAGACTCAGGATGCTCAACCCACATGACCGGCATAAAGCACCTTTTGAGCAACTACACCAACTGCTACGGAGGCAATGTTAGATTCGGAAATGACGCCTCATCTCTTATCCTTGGGTATGGGGACGTCGTCTGTGCCAGTGTCACAATAAAAGATGTTTCATTCGTCAAAGGGCTCAAACACAACTTACTGAGCATTGGACAATTCTGTGACAGCGGGATGGAAGTGAGGTTCTTTGCAAAACAATGCTGTGTTCTTGACAGCACAGGAAATACATTATTAACGTGTTACAGAACATCAAATCTGTACACTATTGATCTGAAAAGCGTCCAATCCACCACTTCCATCTGTCTGCTGTCCAAAGCTTCAACTGAACAGAACAACCTATGGCACAGACGTCTCTCCCATCTGAACTTCAAACATCTATCCACCCTGTCCTCCAAGAAACTTGTTAAGGGGCTTCCTCTGCTAAAGTCTTCCGCTGAAAATCATTGTAGTGCCTGCAAAATGGGCAAAATGACGCGAAGCTCCCACAAGTCAAAAACTGAACCTTCATCTACTCATCAGTTGCAGCTAATACACATGGATCTGTGTGGACCTATGAGAGTACAAAGCATCAACGGTCGCAAATACACTCTGGTGATCGTTGATGACTTCTCTAGGTATACATGGACAAAATTTCTTCGATCAAAAGACGAAGCTGCAGAAAACATTATGACCTTTATCAGAACGATCCAGAAACTGCTACAGCACAGTGTTCGAATTGTCAGAACTGACAATGGTACCGAGTTTAAAAATCAGACTCTCACTGAGTTCTATGAATCACTCGGTATCACTCAGCGATTTGCAGCAGCTAAAACTCCCCAGCAGAACGGAGTGGTTGAGAGAAAGAACAGAACTCTTGTTGAAGCAGCACGCACCATGTTAATCCAATCAAGATTGCCTCACTTCATGTGGGCAGAGGCAATCAATACCGCGTGCTTCACTCAGAACAGAACCTTCATCCACAAGCGCTTCGACAAGACTCCATATGAGATCCTATTCAACACAACTCCTGATATCTCTTTCCTCAAGGTTTTTGGCTGCAAGTGCTTCATACTCAATGATCGGACAGAGAGAAGTAAGCTGGATCCCAAAGCCAGAGAAGGCGTGTTCATTGGCTACTCACTGCAATCCAAAGCTTACCGAGTCTATCTCAGAGACAAGCGGACTGTCATCGAAAGTGTAAACGTTACATTCTATGAAATGGCAGACTTTGCTATTGAACATCTCCAGACCGATCCATCCACTGCTGTACCAGTAGCTTCTGATAAAGCTGAACCAAACACCGAACACGACGATGTGATTCTCGACTCTCTCTTCAGACACTTTTACGAGAACTCACAATCTCCACCTCCTGCATACACTCCAGAGACAACATCAACGCCAACAGCAGAGATTCCGCTCCTCACAGGACCAGATGATGTACCATCCACACCCTCAACCTCACAAACCAATCCCAGAGGTGTGGATGATCACGGCTTTGCCATAAGTTCGGAATCATCTCCACTACACACCACAGCTGCCCCAGAGCCTTCAAATTCATATCAGGACTCAGATCAACCAATAATCACTCCAACTCCTCTAGCTCATGAGTGGAAGTGGACAAAAGCACATCCTGTTGAACAAATAATAGGTGATCCAAGTCAAGGTGTGCGAACGAGATCAGCAACAACAAATGAATGTCACTATGCATGCTTCCTAAGCAAGAATGAACCGTCCAAAGTCTCAGAGGCACTCACTGATCCAGATTGGGTGATTGCCATGCAAGATGAGCTCAATCAGTTTGACAGACTAGATGTGTGGACACTCGTGCCTAAACCCCCTCAGAAAACCATCATTGGCACAAAATGGGTGTTCAAGAACAAGAAGGACGAAGAAGGCATAGTGATACGGAACAAGGCACGACTGGTCGCTAAAGGATATAATCAGCAAGAGGGCATAGACTATGATGAAACATTTGCACCCGTAGCAAGAATTGAAGCAATCCGCCTTTTTCTTGCATACGCAGCCCACAAGAACTTTACTGTCTTTCAAATGGACGTCAAGACTGCCTTTCTAAATGGAGTCTTGGAAGAAGAGGTCTATGTCGCTCAGCCCGAAGGATTCATAGATCCTAGATATCCCGACCATGTGTACAAGCTGAAGAAAGCTCTGTATGGGTTGAAACAGGCACCAAGAGCTTGGTATGATGCCTTAACCGAATTTCTGGTTGATTCAGGTTTCTCAAAAGGGAAGATTGATACGACACTCTTCATCAAGCGACAGCAGTCTGACATCATCCTGATTCAGATCTATGTTGATGACATTATCTTCGCCTCCTCTAATCCACACCTGTGCAAACACTTTGAGAAACTGATGAAAACCAAGTTCGAAATGAGCATGATGGGTGAACTGAATTTCTTCCTAGGCCTGCAAGTAAGACAACTCTCTGACGGCATCTTCATCAATCAGTCAAAGTATATTCTGGAAATGCTTAAGAGATTCAACATTGATAGCAAATCTTCCATGACAACCCCCATGTCCCCAAACAACAAACTGGACTCAGACCCCTCCGGGAAGCCAGTTGATGCTACAAACTACAGGGCCATCATTGGATCGTTGCTATATCTCACATCCAGCATGCCTGACATTGTCTTCTCCACATGCTTATGTGCACGCTTTCAGGCAAATCCGAAGGAATCCCATCTGACCGCTGTTCGAAGAATTCTGAGATACCTCAAAGGTACTGTGAATCTAGGCCTTTGGTATCCCAAGCACTCAGGTTTTGACCTAGTCGGATATTCGGATGCTGACTTTGCTGGTTGCCGGATGGACCGCAAAAGTACATCGGGAGTTGTCCAATTCTTGGGCGATAAGTTAGTCTGCTGGTCTTCCAAGAAGCAGAACTGTGTGTCAACATCTACGGCCGAGGCAGAATACGTCGCGGCTGCTAGCTGTTGTTCACAAATATTATGGATGAAGACCCAGCTAAAGGACTACGGTTACACACTCCGCCATATCCCGATCTACAGTGACTCTCAAAGCGCCATAGCCATCACCAGCAACCCAGTTCATCACTCCCGCACCAAACACATCGACCTGCGCTATCATTTCATCAAGGATCATGTGGAAAAAGGAGACATTGACATGTATTTTGTAAGCTCAGAGCTTCAACTGGCTGACTTGTTCACTAAGGCATTGGATGAAAAACGATTCCAGTTCCTAGTCTCCAAGTTGGGCATGTTGAACCTCGAGCCCGTTTAATTATGTCTCCACTGATCTAAAAAGTGTGTGTGTGTGCGATTTGTAAATAGTGTGTGTGCGTTGCATGTGTTGAGGGGGAGAAAACCAGAAAAAGAACAAAAATAGTGTGCGTGTGTTGCATGAGTTGAGTGTGTGTGAAAAATCAAAAAGAACAAAAAATAGTGTGTGTGCGTTGCATGTGTTGCGTGGGTGAAAAATAAAAAAGAACAAAAAATAGTGTGTGTGCGTTGCATGTGTTGAGGGGGAGAAAACCAGAAAAAGAACAAAAAATAGTGTGCGTGTGTTGCATGAGTTGAGTGTGTGTGAAAAATCAAAAAGAACAAAAAATAGTGTGTGTGCGTTGCATGTGTTGCGTGGGTGAAAAATCAAAAAGAACAAAAAATAGTGTGTGTGCGTTGCATTTGTACATATTGTTCGTTGCATTTTTTGAGGGGGAGAGAATTTTCACTGGTTGAGGGGGAGCTAATTTTCACTAATTAAGGGGGAGCTCTCTATTTTTTACTGGTTTGGGCCTCGAAAATCTTTTAAAAGGGCAACTGTGTGTAAGCCAAATCTTTCGGGCTCAACTTTACGAAGGAGGTCCACATTTTTCTCGCGTATAAAACCTTTACGAAAAACCTTCCTTCCCTTATGTTTTTTTCAAAGGTCTGAATTTTCTCGCAAAAGTAGAGCTCTCAGACTCTTCGTCCTCTTCAAACCCTCTGATTCTCACAAATTTCTCTCCTTCTCCTTCTTCCATTAGCTTTCGCGAAACTCTAAGGTTGTTAACATTCACAATATCAAATCTCGAAAACGAACAATCGATCTCGAAAAACAGAAAACGAATGGTTGATTTCGCGAAAAACCATTGAAATTTCTCAAAATCAACATCAAATTAGTTTTTTTTATTGAATGTATGTCGAAAACGTTTGTTATCCCTTTGATATGTTTTTGCAGGTGGTTTAATCTCTTCTCGAAATCGTCGGTTCATCTTCTCGAAATCAAGATCTCGAGATGGACTTCTCGACATCTTGATCTTGAGATTTGAATCTCGAAATCAAGATCTCGAGATCTGCATCTCGATATCTTGATCTCGAGATTTGAATCTCGAAATCAAGATCTCGAGATCTGCATCTCGATATCTTGATCTCGAGATTTGAATCTCGAAATCAAGATCTCGAGATCCTCATCTCGATATCTTGATCTCGAGATTTGAATCTCGAAATCAAGATCTCGAGATCTGAATCTCGAAATCATGATCTCGAGATCTGAATCTCGAAATCAAGATCTCGAGATTTGAATCTCGAAATCATGATCTCGAGATTCAGATCTCGAGATTTGGACTTAGAAATTTTTTCAAAACTCCACCTGCATAAACTTATCTGAAACCTTAAAATCAAACTCTTTCAATCTAATCAATCAGTTGAATTTCATATGCTGACCCCCTGCTTCTACAGTTTAAAATGGCAGGAAACACTCAAACGCAGATCGATGATGCCATCTACCCCAAAGGAAAATGGATCAAGGTGCTGGACAACAATTTCCAGCTAGACCTTGCGGTGTTCAAATGTCAGAACCCCATAGTGCCAGCCATCATGAAAGGTCACTATCTCTGGCCTGCACTTCACAACTCAAAACCGGTGCCAGAGATATACCTACAACAGTTCTGGGGGCATATGCATACTGATTCGCTGAAGGATCGTTCAAAAATAAAGACCAAGCTGAACGGCATGCGGGTGATTCTTACACCATCTACTCTACGGACAACTCTAGCGCTGCCAGTTCACGATACATATGATGCACTGCCAACCATCCCCGATCTGCTCAAAGACGTGGCATCCCTTGGTTACACATCTCTACTGCCACAGCTCTCCAACTTCAACGGAGCATATCTTCACCATCCGTGGAAGAATCTCTTCGGGCTGGTGAACAAGTGCCTGTCACCTAAGCATGCCGGCTTCGACAAGTGCAACAAGCAGATACTGCTAATCTTTCATGGCATTGCTTTCAACAAGAACTACGACCTGGCACAGCTCTTCTTCTCAGAGCTAATGGACCTGGTCAAAGTCAAAGAAAAGAACAGGCCAGGTACCATCCCGTACGCAAGGTGGCTCGGGCTAATCATTCACGACTCCATGGCAGAGCACTCCTCAATACCAAAACGGAGCTCAGATCCACACTTCAATGCACCGAAGCTGCAATATTTCAAAGCAGACAAGAATCCTATCTTCGGTCTAAGGATCCCTGGATTTCTGCTCAAGCTTGTCAAATCTTCAAATCCAGCGGTCCAGCAGTACAAGGAAGCCACAGAGAGAACTGTCCCTATGGTTCAGCAAAACCCAGCTGGACCTACCCCGGGGACAAAGCCGAGTGAAAGTAAGGGTCCTAAGAGAGCCCAAAAGCCACAGAAACCAGTGGCCGGTTTGCCCAATGAAGGGAAGTCTGACGACTCTCTAGAGACGAGTCAGGCGGCTGAGGGCACCAAGGAAGACGCTGAGGAGACGGCCAGTGAATCGTCTAGTGGAGCCCAAACAAACACTGACGACAAGGCCTCCGAGAGCGTGGGCACGGAGAGTGACAAATCAGACTCGGATGATGACAGTGATGACAATGATAGTGATGATGTGGAGCTCACATATGCACTAATTAGAAAAGGAAAGCTGCCCGCCGAATCTCCAAAGAAGAGAAGAATCATTGTTGAAGACGCAGCACCAATCATAGCTCGCAGACCTCAAGTCTTCACTATTAAAGAAACAGCTAAACCAAGAGCTGATCCGAGCGAGACAAATTGCTCAAAGGATGATTACGACGAGGCAGCTCACTCCATCAAGACATCAATCAACCAGGAAGAAGTTGTCATCCGAGAGACAAGGGCTAAAGTCAAAAATGACAAGGTTGCTAAGGCCAGGCCCCAGCCCCGAACGACAAAGGTTCTGTTTGATAAGGCAGACGAGCACATCTTTGCTGGCTGCGACCCCTTCATCCAGATAAGCCGAGCTGAATCCCTAAGCACAGGAGCCGATCTTTTCGGTTCCCGAGTAGAAGTCGCAGCATCTGGCTCAACTGCGCATGCACAACCCTCTCCCAGCCACTCAATTGCCTCTCAAAAGGTTATTGTTTCAAAAGAACAGGACTCAACCCCCTCGCTGGTTCCTTCTGAATCAGTTGAGCATACAATTGACCTATCTCCCGAGGTCAAAACCCCTTCTTCACTCACATCGAGTCTAGGTGTCACATTTCCCACATTTTCTTCTTTTTCTAGGACACCTACACTATTCACAGCACATACAGGTGCACTCACCCTGAACGCAACAACCAGAGCGCAAGCTATGACGGTTGGAAGCCCTGCTACGCCCATAATGATTTCATCATTAAATGCAGGCCACACATCAGCAATCTTCACTGATGCTGTGTCAACAGTTACAACCCCCGTAACTGGTCACCCTACCTTTGAAGACGTAAATGTTCTACTAAATCGCTTCCTAGATTCCACCATTAAACCATGGGTGCAAGATGCAATGACCGCTCTAGCACAGGAATTTAGGACCACCCAAACGGTTCGGTCTGAACAGACACCACCCCAACCTTCCCCTGAACCGTTCATCTCCCATACACAACCCATATCCTCCACCCCTCTATCCCACCAATCCATCAACCAAATCCCTATCCCTTCTATTTCTCGGGGAACCCAGAATACAGAACCAGTATTCTCCCCACACCCGACCACACCCTCCATCGATCTCTCCTCCCTATCCTTTGACACCCTAGCTTCGGCTTTGCTGAATAACCTTTTAAATACCCCAGAAAACGACCTCACTCTACATCAGCAAGCCATACTAGAAGCTCTTCTTTCCTCACCCGAAACCAAGAGTACTTGCAAGGAGAGTCTTCGTGGTCGCAAACGTTCCCATGAGGACCCCGATGATTCGGATCCTCATGAGGGGGAGAACAAGCGACCTCGATCACTTGAGCAAATCACTCTTCCAAGCCAAACTCCACAGCCAATTCAACCTGAAACCTCAACAAACCAACAGCCACCACCCACAACCAAACTCTCTAGCGTGGTCGAGCTAGAAATAACATCCCGAGGCGTATCTCCTAGAGATACCAATCGAGGAGGAGATGGAAGTCCTGATGATGATACCACTGGTACATCTTCTCCATCAGGCCATCAGTTGGAACCTAGTTCTAAGCTGATGTCAACGGGCAATCCTAGTGAACCCGGTAGTGCTACACAGGAACAATCATCGCCTAAACAAAGAACTCCATACATCTCCCCAGGCAAAGACATCCATGATGCACTGGAAGAGGCGGTGATATACGACAAATGGCCGAGAAAATGGACAGAATGGGATGATCTCCGGGTTGAAGCCGAGCAAGAGGACATGCAAAGGAACTGGTGGCTACGAGAGCTTATAAACAAATGCTCTGAAGATATCATTAGGCTCGAGGACGATGAACGTAAGGAAGGGGAGAACTACAAGGAATCCCAGAAAGCTCTTGAATCAGTCGTAAGACAATCAGCGGGAAGACTTCCCAAGACAGAGAAACCCTGGGACAACGTTCGAATCAAAGCCCCCTTCCAAGAAGAAATCAGAGAGCATATCTGGCGTAGACCAGACAAAGTCAAGCCACTGAACGAACTGAAGCTAAGAGGCCTTACACACTTAAAAGGAAAACAGGCTGGAGGTCATCTGCACATGTTGCTGCAAAGGTCAACCGGTACACAGAGAGAACTGATGGAACAAGATCTGAAGTCAAATATTCTCCCGATTCATCAAATTCTGCAAGTGAAAGCTGAAGACTGTCATGGAGTAACATTTTACACTTTCAGACTTCAACGCACCGATGGGAGCGAATTCACTTGTCAAGAGAACGACTTCATCATGCTGAAACCGGATGACATCTACCAAATGCTCATGGCCTACAGATACCTTCCAGTCAGGCAAAACATAGTATACAGCGAAGGGCTCGCAGCTATCAAGAGATTCATGCTTAGACAGATCCGAGTACACTCCTCACATGACCTACAAATGGCTATTGAATGCAATCTAAAGAAGACAAACCTGACAAAGCCAAAACTGTATGGTCCAGAACTTGAAGATTTCCCAGCCTATCACATCTTCTTCAAACCGCCAGCAGTCACCTACCTGAACCACAAGAACAAAAAGCGTCTGATGGTAGTCAGTGAAATCGAGAAATACTGCGACGGAACACTGAAGATAATCAGAGAGCAGATTCTACAGATGAAGGCAAAGCTGGAAGAAAATCTTCAAGAGGCATCGTCTTATGTTCAAAAGGAACACTCTACTATGGAGACAATTTTAAAGGCCATTGACGATCGCCTCGAAAAGAGAAATATGCTAAGACAGTATGAACATGCACTTGGATTAAGGAAGCACTACTTCAAATCACAGAAGCAATAAGAGAATGACACTTGATCACAAAGGGGGAGATTGTTGGAGATATTTTATTGTGAATCAAGTTGGTCATAGATTAGCTTTATATTTAATCCTTTTATTTAAATAGTGCATAAATTAGATAGAAATCAGGCCAAGGGTTAGGCCCATTTAAACAGGCCAAAAGCCTGTTACGCCTAACCTAAACCTCGCCTATAAAAAGGGAGCCGAGGTTTAGGAAAAGGTTGAACGTCGTACTTATTATTTCATAGCCTTACGCTTATCATTCTGCTGTACGTTCCACGGTTTATCAAAGAAGGTTTTACGGTGATTCATTCTGTTTCATCTTTACGTTTAATCTTCCTTTGTTAGATCGATTATTCATTGCTGTTACAGAAACAGAGACTAACAGTATGATACATTGTCCGACGGAAGCATTGCGAATTTCAGGGACCTGTCCAGACATTTTCTTTTGAGGTCTGCCCGCTCTCAAGATGTCGTATAGAATTTCAGCTTTCTATTCAGCCTAAAGCAGGGAAGAAAGGAAGCACTGTCAGCTTTCCTAGCAAGGTGAAGAAACGAGTCAGTCAAGATTCAGAGCCTTGATGACGAGACCATAGTAACCATACTGACAAAGTCCATCCGGCCAGGTGAACTCTATGAGGATTTCATCAGGTATTCGTCCCCCTTTTACGAGGAAGCTCTGCGACGTGCGGATCACAAAGCTGAAGCTGAAGATGCCGAGCAGAGGAAGAGAGACGAGGAAGAGAGAGAGAGAGAGACGAGGAAGAGAGAGAGAGAGAGAGAGAGAGGGGGGGGGGGAAGGAAGGAAGGGAGGGAGGGAGGGAGGGAGGGAGGAAGGAGGGAGGGAGGGAGGGAGGGAGGGAAGGAAGGAAGGAAGGAAGGAAAGCATGTTGACCCGGAGGCCGAGAAAGTCCCGAACGGTCCAATTTGGCCTACTAAACACTCGACCCCTTTGGCTCAACCAGCTAGAACGATTTATGACTATGTAGAGGAGCAAGTCCTACTATCCTTCCCTCAGAGGTGTGACATGGTCACTGCTAAACACAACACAAACTAGTACTGCAAATTCCACATGAATTTCGGACATGACAGAGGCATGTGCATTGCTCTCCAAAAGCAGATTGAGGCGCTCATCAAACATGGGTACTTGGGCCAATTCGTAGGAGAGCAAGGAAACAACCAACATAAGAGAACGTTGTCATGGAAGCGATGCGACTTGGCTACTATGTCGCACGAGAAGCGCAAACCCAACATTCGATCCGGTGACGATGATATTGATTCTAGGGAAGGAACCTTGAAGCACCGTAGGTGCTCCCACATCATCGACGAACCTCAACGAAGCGATTTTCGTGAATGATGTTCTCGACCCAAACATAGCTTGGGGTCTAGGGAATGCAGAGCAACTTCTCAAGTGGTATCGGCAATACATCATGATAGCTCGTAGATCAAGTGTGTAACACATAATACCTTCTTGAAAGCTACAATTCTTCCATTACTTAGAAAAAATACATTCTATTTTTTCAATCTTGAATGTGATGAGGTCTGACTCACTTGGAAACGAATGGACGGTGGTTTAAGAAAAGCAAAAAAAAAAGAGAGAATGTATATCACGCCTCGCCCTCGGTGCTTAGTCGACCACGGCTCGTCCCTCGGGCAATAAAATGATCAATTACTTTCTAAGTTCAGGATTAGCCGATCGTTCAGGGCGACTGTGGCACCGGCCTTCGGGTCAAAATGGTATGCGAGAGGTCATGCCTCGAGCCCCTTTCATACATCCGTTGTTCGACATTGCTGTCTAAACAGCTCGCATACTCGCTTAATCTAATCAACGGTGCGACGACCGTAAGACCAGCCTTTGGGCTGAAGGTATGTGAGTAGTTGTGCCCCAAGCACCTATCGTACATCCGTTGTCTGAGGTTGTTAGGCTTAACAACCCACATAATCATTTAATTCTGTCAACGGTGCGGGTCCGTTCTGGTCTGATCATGTGGGGCCTTGCCCTTACGTTTGGCCAATTTCAACTCGACTTTCAAAGAAGGAATAACCACAGTATTTCCTAAGTATGAAACTAGTTGCAAGGTGGTGTAAGAACGGCCTTCGGGTCAAAAGGTATGCAAGAGGTCATGCTTCGAGCCCCTCTCGTACATTCATTGTCTGACCACTGGCCGAACAGCTTACACACACGTTTGTCTTTGATCGACAGTGTGCGGGTCAGCCCCGCCTTACCAAGCAGAGCGCGGTCAAGGTTGGCCCTGCCAACCTTCCCCCTCTCACGGTCTAGGTGGGGAGCCAGATCCCAGATGAGTTCTCCAAGTATTTTGAACGAAAAACGACTAAGTAAATTAGAAGGACGAACAATGCACATGTGCAAGCTCAAGCATCGAAACACTTTATGAATAAGGAATGGGAGTTCAAAAACATAAGTCTGGATACCAAAGTAAAATATTGAGCATCTCCATAGAAAACTAAAGTAAGAAAGCTACGGTCTATAATCTAAGGATCAGGCATCTTCCCAGGAGCATCATGGAGAATTGCCTCAAGATCAAAATTGTATATATCTCCCTCTAAGTCATCAGAAACATCTGGAAGGTACCTAGGAGACCAGGTGTCGAAGCCATCACCAGCTGCCCAAGAGGTCTGGACCTGATCATCACGCCATTCTCGTCCTTCCTTGGTTTGCAACCAAGACTGGACGCCAACCCTGAAAGTGATGAGCTCCGAGAATTTAGGGGAGGCCTTGAAAACCGCAATTGCTTGATCTCCTACATCCTTGGACAACCCCTCCAACTGAGCGAACTTGGACTTGAGCTCGGACAAAGCTTTCTCATTTGCTTCATGGCGAGCTGCATGCATCTTCAGGGCAGCCTTTGATTTATCCGCCAGCTCTTGAGCCTGGACCATCTGGCATCGGGTATCGGGTATCGCTGACCTGCTGCTAGAGTTCCTTGTACCTGGTATCCTTGGCACAAAACGCAGTAATCAGTCTCATCAAACCCTACAAAAGAAACAAGTGTTAGGGATGTCAGTTCGGGGCAAAATTAATAGGATGTCAGCTCCGCGCTTTCCCCGGATATCAAATAGACCTGCGTCTGACCTCAAAGGTCGGGACTTAGCATCCTTCGCCGGGACAAGGGCGGCAAGTTCGCTTCTCTGACCTGTTGTACCTACAAGAAGAGAAACAGAGTGAGCAAGGATTCTACTGGATGGATTATCTCCTCTTGCCCGACCTAAAGAGCAGTTTACACCTTGGCCCTTGTTGACAAGTTGCTCCTCGCGAGGCGGGGAAGCCGAGTGCCTTTCCCCAACAACAGATGGAGGAGCTCCGTTCTTCTCCCCTGCATTAAGCGGGCCTACATCAAACATCGATGGTCGAGGCTTAGCATCCTGCGCCGCAGCAGAGGCAGCAAGTGCACCTTTCCTAGCTGCCACGTCTACAAAAAAATAGACAAGGTAAGAAATCACACTAATTAGTAAAAATGTGACCTTTTAGGGCGCGGGACATGCCCACGTATGAAGTAATCATAAAAGGGCTTCCCTGAAACAAAGTATTGATCTCCTCCTCAAGACTGGAAGTGAAGGAAACAAGTTGATACTCGGGCAATGAAGTACCCCAAGTGAATCTAACGGGAGACTAATGGGAGCTAGCGCCCACACCCATTTACTCTGCCACCTCCTAGTGTTGTCGCGGTGCTGCTGAAACAACTTATGCTACAGTGGCTGGTAGAACGATACAGACCCACAAACATTCGAGTTACGACTAAGACGGTTCCAGCGAAAGCAATAACAAAACAAGGCGATGGAAGGTAGAATGGACCCCTTCTCACACCGGGCCATGAAAGTGGTAGTAAACATGTGGGTGCAAGGGTGCAATCATGGCCGACCAGATGCTCCACCAACCTCAACTCTTCTTTTGTGCAAGTAGGATGCAAATGTTTCACCGCCTTAACATGTCGCATCATGTCAGAGTCTGCGTCCCCATCGCTATCTGATTGTCCCGAACCATCATCAGTGAGCTCTAGGACCTCCTCTGGATGACCCAATGTCGAGTCAAACTCTCCTTCAACTTGCCCCGGAATTCGACCAAGTACATGTTCTATGGGCTCTCCGACGGGTAAAAGCCCAACCCTAGCTCCGAGATTGGGTCTCTCATGCACTCCAGTAGGTCAACACCGATCGTGCAAGTCACCGGGAGGTCGAGTAATTCTGTCGCTGGCACGTGCCTTTGAAATTGACCTCAGGAATCTCAACACTCGTGCATCCTCTCCAGCATTTGTGAAGTAGTGAGGTTGTTGCCCATCCTTACCGACCAATTGTGATCAAGCATTGCTCTTGCCATGTTGGTGCATGGAAAGAAGATAATCGCCCTCACTTGCATGAGATCTAATGGCCCTAATTTGTCCTCTATCTAATGATGTCGTGCCTCCTCTCTAGCGGCTCCAGCGGCTTGGCCATCATGTTGTATGCGTGCAAGTGTAACTCCCCGCCCCGTAGGGCACGCTTAACTTTGGAGTTTTTAGCTGATGAGCTCCCTTAAAAGGAGATGCACCTTGTTGGTATGAGTAGTACTATTAATCCGTTTAAATTAAGTCTTAAGTATTACAATCACCCCCACTTAGGAATGCAACGTCCTCCTTGCGCCCATCAATCAATCTCAATCAAACCCCAGAATCTTTCCCCTACTAAGTGCTTACCCAATATTCAACGGATCAGCACACTGTCGCAGGGTTGCTTTGATGCCACCTTGTATTGTCGCAGGGCCCGAGGTAGTTACTCATACACACCATCCAGACCTTTAGTATTGTCCTCACAAACCTCCATGATCCTTTAACGTGCACTTTGTCCTCACTCTTGCACGCCCTGAGAAACTTCCCAAGGGGTCACTAATCCCAAGATTACTCTCGTGCAAGCATGCTTAACTTTGGAGTTCTTAGCTGATGAGCTCCCTTAAAAGGAGATGCACCTTGTTGGTATGAGTATTACTATTAATCCGTTTAAAATAAATCTCAATTATTACAGCAAGGGAGCAAGGGCGTGCATCCTTTTTCTCCAAGAGCGGCCTGGCAGGATCCCAATCAAGTTGGCGGTGTGCGGTCCGGTGAGTGACATGGGTTATGACCGCCTTCCCCTTTTTTTCATGAATGGTAGGGGAGAGCGACCCAGGGTTCTGATCGACCCCCGTTGCATGCTATCGAGCCACCTTGGCAACGCCTTCATGTGGGTATTGATGTGCAATCCCTGGCCGGCCACCATCAACAGGACTCTCGTCTCAACGCATGCGACTGGGATCACTCAAAGTTTGGTCATGCAATGATAGGCTAGGGGTTCTATGGGGCGGACGAGGATTGGGACTGCTCGAAGCTTTCCTGTGACGCTGACCACGGGATGGCGATGACAACGTGCTCATGGAACAACCAGACACCCGTGTATGACTCCTTCCCTGGATTGAAACTGATCGTGGGCTGTCTATGTCCTATGGAGACTCGGACCATGCAATAACGACGACGTCATACGAGGATGAAGAGGCGAGGTTGGCTTGGGTTTGCTAGAGTTTGCCGGTGTGCTGGCATAGTGAATGACGATGACACTTGCAGATGAAAGTGAATAGTACTGTTACACTATTCAAACCCAAGAACAGCTAGGGTTTGGTTGTTTTCTACAAGGCGGAAGTTTTTTTCATATATGGGGGAATTAATGGATATTAATTAATAATAATAATAATAATAATAATAATAATAAATCAAGCATAGTTCCAAGCTATTAATATTTATATTGTGAGAAATAGAGGAGTGCGGTCGGAACTAATATTTATATTGTGAGAAAAGGGTCAAGCGTTTGAGGTTTATTACTCAGCTCGGATCAAGGCCCATGATTCAAAATTATAGGCTCAAATTGACAAATCCGGTGGAGAATGATGCGTACCAGCGAGATCCCTCGTTCCATTTGCAAAAAAACTCGGGGATCTATCCTTCCTTTGCTTTATTTTGGGGCACCGGTGTACTCTTTTTCCTTCACTAGGATTTTTTCCCAGTGAGTTTTTTCCTAGTAAAGTTTTAACGAGACACCCCCTCATTATGAACAAAGGAAGACGTCTCTCCGGACAGGACAAAGAACACCCCGAGCTGCTAATCGAACAACCAAGACCCCAGGCTGCTACCCAGACGAGGAAAATCTCATCCTTACACGCCTCAGATCACAATTATCAACAGAAAGTTGTGCAACCAAACAGTTAATCCAATAATCGGGCCGATTTTAGAGCATCACAAATACTCCCTTATAGCCAAGTCTACTACTCGACTAAGGGAGTGGGGGACTCATGTTGGGATAATGGGTCGGGTCCAGTACTATCGGCTCGTTGCACCCGAGCCTAGGCCCAACCAGGCCCAAGACGCATCCCAGCTAGCAGAAATCAGCACGGGCTTGTTTACTTATTTATTGGGCTTGTTGGCCCGTTAGCGTCGGTACTAGTTATTAAATTGGGCCAAGCCCATGTAGCATTATTATTTGGATTTGTGGTGGATGCCTATAAATAGACCATCACCCCCATGTATTCACTATGTCATTTCTACTATATTGATGTGATGTTGCTTTCTCTACCCTGGTTATTTTCTATCAACATAGATAATGCCTAATCATCACTTTGTTCTTCCCATAATAGGACTCTTAGAAAGTTACTTTTAATATAACCATATAAGTCACGTTTTAGAAATAAAACTTAGTTATTTCTATTTGTGCGCTTTTTCTGTGTTCTACTCCCATTTGATGCAATTTCTTTGCATAAACTATTTTCATGCAGGCTCAAAGATTGAAATGGGTTGATGAGCAGTATGAAATGCACGTATTTAGTGACAACTTTTATCAGTCTAACTGTGAAACTACTGCCAAACGTGTTACAGAGGAAGTGCATCGATCAAATGTTTTGATAGTCATTGCTGTTACCAGTAAAGAGTCAGTCAAATGGATTCAAGCGAATTGCCATTATGTCCCAAATATCATATGTTTCGAGTCATCTGTAGCATTAACAAACAAACTGGGAGGGCTAGTAATTGAAACTGAGACCAATGATAATAATATATTTACAAGATTAGTACCAACTTCTCAATGGAAGAAACTGCATGAATCAAGAGAAGTGGCCCAAATTGTGTCTTTAGCCTGGGAGAGGCACAACTGTGATGATATACGGTTTTGTTTGCTGGTTATAATCAATGCTTATATAACTCCAGTTCCAACACTAAAGAACCTAAGAGCGAAAGGCTTTTCTACCTTTAAGTGTATGCTGAAAAACTGTGGGGCACAGATACTGAACTGCCTTTCTGATCCTATATGTAGAAAAGCCCTTCGATGTTTAAACCAGTGCAGCCCAGGCGACCAGGTATGCAATTACACATGTATAGCATCCTACGAGAGTCCACTCCTGGAAGAGTTCTCTCTTTGTGTACTTCAGAAGAACAATTGCTTAGGATTCGACGTCAAAATCCCAGAAAAACCTCACGTGACCCCGATGTCAGGGTTTCATGGGCAAAGATTGTGTCACGAGACCGCGGAGGATCTTCTCGTGGGTTGGTTGGGGAAACTAGATTGGAGTTGGCGTGTTGTGGCCGGGCAAAACCGGGCCTATGATCAATTCCCATGCCAGTACCAGTTATTCTATAGAGGAGAAGGAAAGGGGACGTTCTGGTGTGAGGCAGTCTTTCAGGTGAGGACACTCGATGGGTGCGCTACGTCGTGGAGAAGGCGAAAGTACAAAGTAAGGCGGGGGGAAGCCCCGGGGACGTTCCACTTCAGCGTCATGGATAATGGAGTGGTTACAGATGAGATGTGGACGATTGTGGATGTTTGTGAGGATCTGAGTTGGGGATTGTTTCACTACCGCGGGGCTGCTCGAGTGGCAGGGCAGACATACTCCGGGGCAGTACTGGTCAGCCCAGATGGTGTGTATCGTGATGAGAAACAACACCGCCACAGATTGATAGCTGCATTGGATAGGTGTTGTATCAAAGAGTGGGAGCTCTTCATGGTCGATAACAACTGTCAATGTCAAGATCCCCCTCTCTGTCTTCCTGAGGGGTGTAGTCTACATTATAATGTTGATGCAATTCATATAGGGGAACAATTTCCCCTTTAGTTGGTATACAGAAATCTATAAATCTTAGTGTCAACAACCTGAAAAGTGTCATTACATGTTCCAGTTATTTATTACTCCAATGGGTAACAATAAAATGTTTTCTCAATAATATTCTCGCCTAAACATTTACATATTCTAATAGTGCACCGCAATACACAAGAACAATGTGTTCCAATTAAATACATGAAATGATTCATCTTGAGCAAAAAGTTTGCCTTTATGATAGAATGAAGTAATGTACAAAGCAAAGTTTTATACTCTCTGATATAACCAGTGCTCCAATTTTATTGTTACGTTAGGCTTAAAAATGTAGCAGTGTGACCATCACTAGTATACGCACTTAGAACGAATTAACTCAAATGAAGTCTTACATATGTGACCGTCACTAATATTGACAATTAGATGAGTGAAGTACAAAGCGAAGTGAAAGGGTATGAAGTTAGTGATTAGTCTGAATAAGTGAAGTTGCATAGTAAGAGTCAGCGAGAAAAGTGACGACAACAAACATACAATTCCTTGTACGTAGATTAAATAAGCACTAAGTAGTAGGTTCCTAAAAATGGTTATTCCCTTGTGAAGAATGATTCATAGATAATTCCGAGTGAGGGATCCATGTTGAAATAAATTAACACAAAATGGATATTGTAATAGATGTAACTCCACATCCATGAGAACCGTATCAACCATATATGGCTCGGGTGAATTGCTTTTGCTAGAGACTGTCCACTTGCGCACAACTCTTAACAAAAATACGACTTTATCATCCAACTCATATCAACATTCTTTAAGAGAGTCTTGTAAGGACCCATTGAGTAAAAAAATAAATAGGGTGGGCATAATGGCGCAAATAATTTAGCAGAGGGAATGCTGAAAATTTATGATTTTCGTTGGGTGTATATGTATATATATAGAGAGGGGGGTGGGTTCTAGTGAGAACCCTTCCTAAAATGAGAACTTTTAATCTTCACCTTTCATTTATTAATTGCAATCATTGGTTATGATTCACATTGGGTCATATTCATAATTACCCCAAAGTCAAATGGGGCTTTTCTGCAATTAATGCTAAATTATTACAAAAATGTCACCTTGTCATTATTATCCATTGATTGTAAAACTAAGTGATAGAGATTAGAAGTTCTCATTTTAAAATGGGTTCTCATTTAAAGAGGGTTCTCATAAGAACTCTCACCTGTGTGTGTAGACACACACACATACAAAATGTGCAAAAGTTTTTTTAAAGAATATAATATGCTAAAGGTTAGAGATATATACCATGACAAAGATAGAATTGTTGTGCACTGAACAAAAAAGACTCTCTCACACGGCTCGCTTGTAGGAGGAAGGGGGGGTTTGATATAGCCGATAACTTCTGAAACATCATTAGAAATGGTAAGTTGGCGAAAGATGAGTAATTGTGAAAGAATTTACTCAAATACTTTAGGAGGCTAGGACTTAATCAGAAGACTTAGTTTACTTAATTAGATACCACATTCTTCCCTTAAAACTTTGTAACATTTAACTTTTCAAGGTAATGGTGATAAACGAATTTGGTGAATGACTTTGATTAGTATAATTTTATGAAAGTTACAAATTTTAAGTATACCCGATATGGAAGATGGAATTAAGCATTTATTTATTGGAACATACAAGTATATTTGTTGTGTGTAAATGTTAGATTTCATTTTTAGTGGGTACTTGCTTCTTCATTACTAATGAAAGACCTACTTTAACATGTTTATTTATCATTACAGATATTACTAATCCTTCTACGTAATACGTAGTAGTAGTAGTACAAAGTCTTACCTTTTCCCTAGGACTCAACAAAGTTTCATACCAAACCCATTCCATTAGAAGTTAGAACACCCGATCTACAACGTCCACATTCACGCTCTTTATCCATTTTCACGAATCATGTGTGCAAACAAAAGACATCAAACCATTCTCCATGAAAATGCCGAAACATTGAGTTTCATCCTTCACCACAGACTGATTCATGATTTCAAAAGTTGCTCTTAGTGAATTGAAGCAAATCTTTCCATCATTTGCAATGGAGCCAAAGATTCATTATTTTTTGGCTTGAGATGATGATGGAATAAAGCAAAATGGCTCACTAAACTGTCTGAGCTTCTTTGTAATGAAGCAGCAGTCAGTCCATGCAATTTTGGACGCGATTTTCACTATGGGTCATCCGGAAACAGTCTCTCTATGCTTTAGTATAGGGGTAAGACTGCGTACATCCGACCCCCCTTACCCCACCGTAGGTGGGAGCCTTTGCGGCACTGGGGTAAATGAAAATGAAATGATGAAAATGAGTGAATTGAAGCAAATCACGTGCTTGATGGGCTAAAGTGCTGAAGTGTTAAACGTCTCATTTATAATAATTATTGTTAACAAACAATGATTACTCGTAAGGGTATAGACCTTTTGATTACTCTTTATAATTTGATATGCACTAAATCAATTACAATAGTAAATTCAAAAGTAACTGCTCCATATTATTGCATATAGACTCGCAACTTGTAAGGGTGTATGTAGAGTGTAGACTCAAATGTTTTTCTGTTGGTGGTCAAATAAGGAAACTTCTATTGATGGTACAATGAAACAAATTCTTCTTGGAATAATTCTTTGGTTTATTTGGAAAGCTATGAATGCTTGTATTTGGGACAATCTGAAGTTTGATGATGATAGAATTATCAAGCAAATTCAAGCTTACTGTCGACAATGGTGCTCAAGTTACAAAAATGAAAAGTTCATGATTTACAGTGATGATTTAGTTCAAGCAAACATCATGCCACGTAATATGCAGAAAGTCAAGCAAAAATTATTGATCTGGAAGAACAACTTCCCTTATAAGCAATTAAATGTGGATGTGGCCTTCAAAAATGGAGATTGTGCTGGTGGTGCCATTCTCAGAACTCAGGACGGCTCGTTTATTGTTGCAGCTGTATTCAAGATTAAAGCTAACTCTGTCCAAAATCATGGTGGCCGTAAAAGCTTTAACCTGGTGCAAAAACATGAACCTTAGGGATTTCCAATTGGAATCTGATTCTCAAACTCTAATTAAAGCAAAAAAAAAATATTTGCAGAATCCCTATCTTGATACCTGGATGAAAGAGTTCTCTAGCTTATGTGATACTCAAGAAGTGAAGATCCACCATATATACAGGGAAATCAACAAAGTTGCTCACTCTTTGGCGCAAGAAGGCATGGAAATTAAAAGGGATAAAATTTTCATGAAGAGGAATGAGCTATCTGCTTCGACGAATCGTCTTCTGAATCTTGATGCGGATGGCACTTTCTTCATCCGCTGCTAGCATTTACTTTCTCTTTCTCTTATTGCTTTCTTTTTAGGTGATCGCTGGGTACCCGGCAAAAATATACCTACTTTACCTAGGATCATTTCATTGATCCAACTCAATATTTCATATTTTATTTACATTTAATTTATTCAATTTGAAATTTTTTATTGGTCCACACCCTCAAGGTACGGTGCCTTGAAGGTACCGTAGAAATTGCCTTCTTTTTAATTTCTTTATTTTCTTTGATGTAGTTTGTTTTGGGCAAGCCCCCCCCCCCCCCCCCCCCCCCCCCAAAAAAAAAAACATTCTTTTACTGTTTGTTTTCATATTTTACTGAGAAGGGATGCTTTCTTAGTGGGGTCTTGGCCTAGTCCCCTCACCTTGTGTACCTCTTTAATTTTTTAATAAAAGATGGTAAATGTTCCTCGACATTTACTCCACCATAAGGTGGTTTACCTATCGAGATTAAACAAAACGTGCAAATCTCTTACTCAAATCGCCATCATTTCTTCCCCAAAGAACTCACTCTTCGGGTCTACTACTTCTCTACACGGTTTATTATATTTGCCTAATTAAAATAGGTCTGTGAATATTGCCCAACTCATGGAGGCCGACTCACTCTCTCATATAACAGGTGTTATTCTGAACTTCATGAAAGTAGTTCTAATCCTAGTTATTAGTTCAATATTGTAAAATGAATTGTACTTTATTGAATAGTACATTTAATTGTGCATAACTTTTACATTAAAAATAAGCACTTTAAGTAGAAGTTGCATACAATAAACTTCTATCTCTAAATGAAAATAAATTTTTCGAATATCATAGATAATAGTTAATCTATATGTATAGTTCATCCAAATATATGTTTATATAATAAAGTAATAAACAAATCATATTAATATAAATAATAATAATTTTGTTTATCATTATTGGCAAGTAAGTTGCATGTGAACTTTTTGGCGGCTTTATTCTCACTTGTTGCTCTATTATCACAATTTTGGCAATTAATTTCAAGTTTATGTATTCACATGATTGTATGAATGGAGAATGTAGTACAAAGTGGCATGTCACGGGTAATTTGAAGTGCTTGCCTGTAGTTTTTTTTCTTAACAGATAAGATTATTATTTGTTACTCCCAACTATTTTATTTTATTATAAGAAAAAAGGGAATAGTTGCATGGTATAGAAATAGGAGGTGTATGATTCTTTTACTCCGTATTGTTATTTTGAATTTGAATGGATCGATTGACTTTGATACATAGATACAGGATACTTCGTATACTATTGATAACCCATTACTTGGTAACAATAAATTTTAAGAATCATCAATAATGCTTTAACATTCATAAGCCGTATTGCATGAGTGAATTGTTGACCATATTATATAGTTGTCCATTAATTTTAGAATGCATGTGAAAATTTATCACATTCGTTAAGTTGGCTCAAATCAAGTACAGAAAGTAGTATTTATCTACATGTATACATGTATAGTCGCATATTATGAAGTTATCTTTATTTAACTTAATAAGACAAATGTCACATGCATATGTTTCTTTTGGAGGCCATGGAAATGATCAGTGGCAGATCCAGGATTTCATGTTGGAAAATTTGCAAAACAAGAAAAAAATCAAATATTAGAGTTCTCCACTAAATTTAATCTCGATGAGGCTTTGAAACAAAAGAACTCATCAACAATAGAGTCTACATTTATACTAAGAATATGATCTTTTCAATACAAAATGTCATGCAATCAGCAAGGAAGTCGTCATCCAGTTTGTTTCGGAGTGCTGTCTTTAGAAGTTTCATGGCAGAAAATGATCGTTCTACTGTTGTAATAGAAAAGGTAAGATCAATACAAGGAAAGTCAATATGCTCATCATAACGTACATATGAATCAGATCTTTTGCCCTTAGTCAACTCCTCACATAGTCACGTAATTCAATAAGTGCAGATACTTGAAATTTTGTATCATGTATACATCATGAACATAGTGTTGCAGCTCAAATTCCGAAGCACGAATATCCTGACTACTAAAATCTTCATGATAGAACTTCCTTGCAAGGGTATATATAAATAACATCGACACTAAACAACTCATATGAATTTTTGGGATCCATCGAAACACTCAAAGAAAGGAGTTTCACTGATTTATCATTAAATCGGACCCTTAACTCCAACAATACAAAATCTATTGCCTCATTGAAAACATCAAAGTGATAATGATGCTCGATCAACTTTAGTTTCTTTTCGGACATGACCAACCATATATTTAGAATTCAACTCTGGTACATGAATTTTGTGTTTTGAGCAAAATTCCTTTACTTCTTCAAGAAAACCTTCCCATTCATTTTCTGTCAATTCCCCCGAGGATGAGTTGTGTAGTATGAAAATGTTTGATCTCATGGCTATCAAGATTCCCAATAAGTTTGTTTGAAGGCCTTGGCAAAGAATACTCGTTATTCACATAACTTTGTGCATCAAAATTAAATTGAACACAAATCCAAAATATGGAGAGTGTCTATATACACTACGAACTTCTGCCTGAGAACTAACTTTTGGGCAATGTTCTTGAAGATACTCAAACACTTTACAAGTTAATGTGAGCATGTCAATAAGCTCTTAATTGAAACATATTTTATTGTATTTATTTACATTTATGCCTTATGGGCTATGACCCTTATATAGGTGACGTGTATAACAATTAGATTAGATCTTTAGATGGTAAGATTTTGTTTTATGGACTGGGTTGAAAATTTGGACTCGGCTATAGAAGAATTTGCGGTGAGCAGGATAGAACTTTTAAAAATAATACCTTAAAAATGCTTTATTTTTTAACATGTTATAAAATGAAAGGAAAATTATGGTGTGTAGAAAATTATGAAAAAGATTATATCAAATATAAAGGTGTTCTTGAGAGTGTGATAATGGTGGTCTTATGGTGTGTTAATTACAATGAGAATGACTACTATTTACAGGAGAACGTGTGAACTCAATGAGATTAGTAGATCATTGAGAGTCACACATTTATTACTTTGAAATCATAATTATGTTTTCATAACTATTCATATAATAGTGATAATAATCCAATAGTTGGAGTATGACTAATTCAATTATATTTAAAGATGGAGGATGTTCAACGGAAATAGGGTAGAGGTAATGCTCTAATTTTCGAGATCTCTTGTCCACTTAGGCACTTATCAAGTGCGCCACATATGAATGAGTTCCATGCCTCCCTGGCAAGTCACCACCATGAGTGCCGACGTTGCACCTATGTTCATGTCAAGCGCCGGTTTACGGATGAGTCCCGTCAGTTTATATCGGACCGCCCTTCTCCATCCGCTCTTGTGCAGAACCGCAAGGCTCACTGTTCCGTTGATTCTCTCCGGGAAGTCCACGGTTGCTCGAAGATGCGTAAGTGCTGCTCTGAACGCGGAGGATGCTTCCATGACGGAGAAACATGATACTCCGGTGAGAATAGTAGCTTTTGTCGGCGAAGGCAGCGTCAGTCCCCTCAACTCCACTCCTTGGCATGACGTCATGCTCCACACCGTGAGTATATCGTTTCTACTATAGGATATGTTTTCGGCAATCTCTTTGAGGTGTGATTTTTTGCCTATTTTACGGACTGCAAAATATTAATTGTCTGAGAGGGCACTGACACTAGGCAGAAACAAAGTATTTGTAGAAGTTTAATGCCTGCTTGATTCTATCATAGAATGTGTGACGTTATGCCCAAGCCAACTGATCTTATTGCACCCAGAGAGGTATGGCGTCTCTACACTTTGCAACTTGGACAAATTCTTTTTATTTGATGAAATTGATGATGGAAAGTGGAAACCTTATTTTTCTATGTGTGTCTTAGATAATTTGTAATTGGGATTGATATAGGATGCTATTTTGGCTGGCCTTTGGGGTATGATAGATTGATTTTCATGTCAAAAAGATCATATGAACTCAGGTAGTTATCAAATTTCGTTCATTTGTGTGATGGTGAAGTTCATATAGTTGGCCTGACTTCATTAGCAATAGATTGTGTAGAGTTATTGGACCGGCTCAGACCTCAATCACCATAGCCCAAGGGCTAGCTCACCATTCACCACCAAGGAGTCAACAAGGGAAACCAGAGGGCATCTAGTCTCAAACGCTCAGTTTAGTGCCCAACCCTCCCAAACCAGACTGCCCAGAGAAAACCCACCGGAGAAGAAACCCCCCACAAGACTACCAGTACAGAGTGAAGCCCACAGAAGGACTCCAAAGGTATCACCGGAGGGTAGCCGGAGCTCAAACCCTAGATGATACCAGCACTCTCTCACTCTAGAACTGGGGTAACCGGAAAGACCTCTCATCGGATAGAGAGAGGAAGGGGACGATCAAATAGTGGATTCCAGAAGGAACGGACAATATAAGGTAAGGGCCACAGAGACATGGGCTTGGGCAAAGACAAAGGAGGGCAAGTGGGCTAAGTCAGGCGGACAGCCCAAACGGGCCAGGAGGATAAGATTAGCAGACAGGTCATTAAATGGGATGGACCAAGGGGCCAGTGAGGTGGACCAATACCAACTCACAATCTCCACCTTATTGGTCCCCCTGGTGGTGTAGAGCACAACGTGAATGGGAGTATCATCATCGCCGGTTTTGTACCTGTTCTTATCTAGCCACAGTCTAAATTAAGAGTTCGTTTACAAGACAAAAGTTTTTCAAAATTGAGACATTTAGTCCCCATATCTGCAGGGTTAAATTCTGAAGGTATCTTGGACAGCTTTATCCAACCTGCATCCACAATATTCCTAATAAAATGGAACCTGACATCAATATGCTTGGTCCTGTACTCCTGTCATGGAATACAGGATTCTTGCATAATTGGATAGCAGACTGACTATCAGAGTACACTGTCACAACCTGCTTAAGAAAACCAATTTCAGTTAGCATTCGTTTAAGCCAAATAGCCTCTTTAAAGGCCTCAGTGGCTGCCACGTATTCAGATTCAGTAGTGGACAGTGCAACAATAGGTTGAAGTTGGGATTTCCAACTTATGCAGGAACCACAAAGAGTAAAAATGTAGGAAGTAGTAGACTTTCTATTGTCCCTATCATTTGCATAATTGGAGTCAACATAGCCAGTAAGTAAAATGCCAGTTTCAGTTTTAGAAAAAACAAGACCATGAGAAGGTGTACCCCTAAGGTATCTAAGGAGCCATTTAAGGGCAGTCCAGTGAGACATACCAGGGTTTGCCATATATCTACTTAAGCAACTAACAGCATAGGCTATATCAGGCCTTGTGCTTACCATGAGATACATGACTGACCCTATAGCACTGGAATAGGGTACAGCCTTCATCCTATCTATCTCAGGAGCAGTCCTTGGGGACTGATCCTTGCTTAGCACAAAATGGGGTGCTAAGGGAACATTCACAGGTTGGGCAGAGTCAATTTTGAACTTTTTCAAGACCTTTTCAAGATAGGAGGTTTGGTTCAGGGTAAGGGTACACCTACTCCTATCCCTAAGAATATTAATCCCTAGGATTCTCTTAGCATCTCCAAGATCTTTCATAGCAAAGTTTTCACAAAGGCACTTTTGAACTATCTTAATAGCATTCACAGAGGGGCTAATGATAAGCATGTCATCAACATAGATTAACAAGAAAACAGGTACAGCAGCAGTATTCTTAAAATACAAACAAGGGTCAGAATCAGACCTTTTGAAACTCAGGGAAGACATACACTGGTCAAACTTGATATTCCATTGTCTGGGAGACTGTTTCAGGCCATAGAGGGCCTTCCTAAGTAGACAGACATGTCTAGGGTACTTAGGGTCAATAAAACCCTCAGGTTGGCTCATGAAAATCTGTTTATCTAGTTCACCATGAAGGAAAGCAGTGGTAACATCCATCTGCTTCATCTCCCAGTCATTATGGGCAACTAGGGCAAGCATCATCTTAATTGTTGTGAATTTTACTACTGGAGCAAAAATTTCAGCATAGTCTACCCCTTCCTTTTGAGTGAAACCTTTTGCCACTAACCTAGCTTTAAACCTAATGTCATTTGGTTCTTCTTTAACTTTGAAAAGCCATTTGCACTCAAAAACAGAACAATTAGGAGTCCTAGGAACTAGGGTCCAGGTTTTATTCAACTTAAGAGATTCTATCTCACTTTGCATAGCACATAGCCAATTTTTAGATTCTCTAGAGGCAAGGGCTTCCTGGTAGGTTTTAGGCTCATTCAACTCAAGAGTTTCAAAGACAGAGAAAGCAAATAATGAAGTATCATACAGGTGAAAAGCATAGTCAGTCATACTATCAGAAATCCTCTTAATGTTTCTTCTAGTCCTATCTCTGGCTAACACATAATCATCTAGACTCTCATTCTCAACTTGGATCTCTCCAAGTTCTTCATTATCAGCAAAATCAGATTGAACAATCACATCATGCAGATTTTCATCATTACCACTGGGTTGCTCCACCTCACTAGAGGTGGAGTGGGTGTCATGCATAGTGTTGGTCAAATCAGGAGTACTAGACTCATTCACCAGAGGGGCAGTGGTGGTCTGGATGGGCTCCACCTCACTAGGAGAGGTGCCATCATGCACAGTTTGAGGGTCAGTCACATGTTGAACTAAGCAGGGAAAGTCACTTTCATTGAATACAACATTTCTGCTTATGATGACCTTAAAACCACTCTGGTTCCTATCCCAGATCCTATATCCTTTAACACCTTCAGGATATCCTAAGAAAATGCATTTCTTAGACCTAGGGTCCAACTTATCAGACTGTTGATGTACATAGGCAGCACACCCAAACACTTTTAAGTTTGACAAGTCCAGGGGTTTCTTAGAGAAGACAGACTCAGGACACTTACCTTCTAAAGGTACAGAGGGGGATCTGTTTATCAGGTAGGTGGCAGTATTGACAGCTTCTCCCCAAAACTTCTTGGGGAGGCCAGAAGTGGCAAGCATGCTCCTAACTTTGTCTAGGATGGTCCTATTCATTCTCTCAGCTAAGCCATTCTGTTGGGGAGTATAGGGCACAGTTTTGTGTCTCCTAATCCCACTCTCAACACACAACCTATCCATATCCTTATTGCAGAATTCTAAGCCATTGTCAGTTCTAAGGGTTTTAACCTTACATCCAGTTTGATTTTCTACCATAATTTTCCATTCTTTAAACCTAACATACACATCAGATTTATGTTCTAACAAGCAGACCCAGACTTTCCTAGAAAAGTCATCAATTATGGACAGAAAATACCTCCTACCCCCATGGGTAGGGACACTGGAAGGACCCCATACATCTGCATGTATGTAGTCAAGGACAGCTTTAGACTTAGGCTCACTAGAATAGCTAGAAACTGGAAACTGAACCCTATGTTGTTTACCTAGGACACAACCCTCACAGAAAGGTATGGGTGACACCAAGTCATTGCCAAAACATCCAGTTTGTTTCAAAATATTCAATCCTTTATTACTCATGTGACCCAGTCTTTGGTGCCAAAGCACAGACTTGTCACTGAGTACAGCATTAGCATTTTCAGAAAAAGGTTTGGCATGCACAACATAAAGGTTATTTTGTTTCAAGGCTTTAAACAAAACAAGGGAGTTTTTCAAAATCTTCATACACCCATTTCCCCATTTACCCTCAAGACCACATTCTTCAAAAACAGAAACAGAAAGCAGGTTGTGCCTAAGATCAGGGACATGTCTAACATTTTTTAATTTGAAAACAGTTCCATTTTCAAACTTAAGACTTATGTCACCCACACCATGGACCTTACACTTCTTATTGTCAGCTAAGGACACATAACCAGAATCACAAGCACTATAAGAAGCAAACAGATTTTTAAAAGGAGTCATGTGGTAGGTACAACCTGAATCTATTAACCATTCAAATTCAGTTAAGTTGCTTAGGGCAGAATTAGCATGATCACAGATCATGAACACTTCTTCACTAATTTCCTTATCAGTCACAGAGTTGGCCTGTTCATTTCTTTTGGGTTGGGTACAATCTTTGATGAAATGATCTGGGTTCCCACAGTTATAGCACACCCTTTTCTTAGACTTATGCCTTTTCTTGCTAGGTTGTCTGCCATTCTTATCCTGATTGTCCTTTTTAGGGTGTTTAGACCTACTTTTAGATCTTCCCCTAACAACCAAAGCTTCCCCAGATTCCCTATGATGGTTCCTAGAATGTTTTAAGTCAAGTTCTTTACTTCTCAGGCCATTAATAACAATATCAAGGGTTATGTCATCCCTCCCATATTTTATGGCAGACTTAACATCATTATAGGAATCAGGTATAGCATTTAATAAGACTATGGCAGTGTAGTCATCTATATGTTTATCCCCAGCCTGCTTAATGTTTTGGATTAGCTTGTTAAAAATATCTAGGTTTTCATCAATATCTTTTGTTAGGTCAAGCCTAAACCTAAAAAACTTTTCCAACAAAAACAGTTTGCCAGGAAGGGAAGTATCAGTATATAGAGACTCAAGTTTATCCCAGAGGTCTTTAGCAGACTCAATGACTCCAACCTTTCTAAGGACAGAGTCAGACAAGTTTAAATATATAGTTGAGCAGGCTATTTCATTCATTTCAACTTGTTTAGGTTTTTCCTCAGTTTCTAAGTATTGCCCAGTAATAGCTCTATGAACTTTCTGTTGTATTAACACACATTTTAGTTTTTGTTTCCAAATATCAAAGTCAGTCTTACCATTAAAAGGCATCATACCATACTGGTTTGAAGCCATGATAACAGTCAAGCACACACAATTAATGAGTCAACTGTAATGCAGGAGCCTAGCCCTAGAAGGTTAGACTGCGGACTAAGGGACCACGCAGATCCGGGGCCACAGAGGTGGCTGGCAGGGAATCCCCTAGCCCTAACCTCAGGTGCCTTAGCCAACTAGGGTTTCACAGCCACAGTATTACAATGGATCAAAAATTATCAACACAAAAACAATACTGGAAGCAGATAACAATAACAACAACAGAGGACTGGCAAACAAGTAGAAAACACAAAGGTGCTCAGATAATATTACAGACAACTGTGGGCTAAGTTCGACACAGATTAGCACCACCCATGCACTAGTTCAACAACCTAGGGTTTCTGCAGACCTGTCTTAGACAGAATCTACACATGCAACGGATAAAAGAACTGGGGTTTCTAACCGGCAGCTCCTCAACCTAGGGTTTCAGAACTACCCATGCAACACAGAAGCCGGTGGCACTCCGGCAGTCCAAGATAGGGTTTAAGCTAATATACCTGAGCGGGAGTCTAGATTAGACTTCCCGACTTACCAATCCGAGGAGGAGCCTAGGCGTTACCAGTTTTGGGGAAGTTCTTCCGGCGAGTCTCCGGCGTCGGTGAGAGGAGGCAGCTTCCAGCTCTGATACCACTGTAGAGTTACTGGACCGGCTCAGACCTCAATCACCATAGCCCAAGGGCTAGCTCACCATTCACCACCAAGGAGTCAACAAGGGAAACCAGAGGGCATCTAGTCTCAAACGCTCAGTTTAGTGCCCAACCCTCCCAAACCAGACTGCCCAGAGAAAACCCACCGGAGAAGAAACCCCCCACAAGACTACCAGTACAAAGTGAAGCCCACAGAAGGACTCCAAAGGTATCACCGGAGGGTAGCCGGAGCTCAAACCCTAGATGATACCAGCACTCTCTCACTCTAGAACTGGGGTAACCGGAAAGACCTCTCATCGGATAGAGAGAGGAAGGGGACGATCAAATAGTGGATTCCAGAAGGAACGGACAATATAAGGTAAGGGCCACAGAGACATGGGCTTGGGCAAAGACAAAGGAGGGCAAGTGGGCTAAGTCAGGCGGACAGCCCAAACGGGCCAGGAGGATAAGATTAGCAGACAGGTCATTAAATGGGATGGACCAAGGGGCCAGTGAGGTGGACCAATACCAACTCACAGATTGCTTAAGTAGTTAAGTCTGATACATTTGTTTTACCCAACTTAGCAAATGACATGTTTCCTCAAATAGGATAGTCATGCTTTCTTCCCAAAATAGGGTTCATCCACTTCTAGAAAAAGATTTATTAGTTGCTTTTGTTTTTTAGTGTTGAATAGTGACTCCTATTTTGAGAAGAAATTAAAACAATAAGGGTCTTATCTGAGGAAATGTGTTATGTCTTAGTCTTATTTTGAGCAAGTATTTTTAGGTGACTGGCCCATTTTTTTCAATTTGAGAACCAAGTAACTGCCTCATTAATTTCCAAAAAAAGTAACTGCCTCATTACCTCATACACCTTATTTGGAACAGCCTCAAAGGGAGTATGATACTGCAATTTTGAACTTTCGTATATCTAACCTTTAAAGTATTTCTGTAACATTGGCTCTCCTCCTATAAGGACTATATATCAATATTTCCATGCAGGCACAGAGGTTGAAGTGGGTTGATGAACAGTATGAAATGCACGTTTTTAGTGATAACTTTCATCAGTCTGACAATGAAAATGCCAAACGTGTTACAGAGGAAGTATGTCGATCAAATTTTATGGTCGTCGTTGCTGTTACAAATGAAGAATCAGTCAAATGGATTCAAGAACATGGCTATATTGTCCCAAATATCATATGTTTCGAGTCGTCTGCAGCATTAGCAACCAAGCTGGGAGGGCTAGTTATTGAAACTGTAACCAAGGGGAATATATTTGGAGGTTTATCTTCAATTTCTCAATGGAAGAAACTAGACAGATCCAGGGAAGTGGCCAAAACTGTGTCTTTAGCTTGGGATAGGCATAATTCTGATGATATACGGTTTTGTTTGTTGGTTATAATCAATGCTTATATAACTCCAGTTCCAACATTGAAGAACCTAAGAGCAACAGGCTTCTCTACCTTAAACTGCATGTTGAAAAACTGTGGGGCCCAGATATTGAACTGCCTTTTGGATCCTAACTGTAGACAAGCCATTTGGTGCTTAAACCAGTGCAGCGCAGTGGACCAGGTATGCAATTACACATGTATAGCTTCGTATGAGAGCCCATACCTGGAAGAGTTCTCTCTTTGTGTACTTCAAAAGAACAACTGTTTAGGATTGGACGTGAAAATCCCAGAAAAACCTCATGTAGCTCCGATGTCAGAGTTTCGTAGGCAGAAATTGTGTCATGAGACAGCAGAGGATCTTTTCGTGGGTTGGTTGGGGAAATTCGATTGGAGTTGGCGTGTTGTGGCTGGGCAAAACCCAGCCTACGATCAATTCCCATGCCAATACCAATTATTCTATAGAGGAAAAGCAAAGGGATCGTTTTGGTACGAACCAGTCTTTCAGGTTAGGACACTTGATGGGGGGGCTCTGGTGTGGAGAAGGCGAAAGTACAGAGTGAAAAGAGGGAAAATACCAGGGACATTTCACTTCAGTGTCTTGGATAATGGAGTGGTTTCAAATGAGATATGGACGATTGTGGATGTTTGTGAGGATCTAAGCTGGGGATTGTTTCACTACCATGGGGCCGCTCGAGTGGCAGGGCAAACATACTCTGGGGCAGTGCTGGTTAGCCCAGACGGTGTGTATCCTGATGAGAAACACCGCCAGAGACTTATATCTGCATTGGATAGGTGTTGTATCAAAGAGTGGGAGCTCTTCATGGTTGATAATAATTGTTCATGTCAAGATCCACCTCTCTGTCTTCCTGAGGGGTGTAGTCTACATTATAATGTTGATGTAGTTCATAGCAGGAAAGAAATGTCTCTTTAGTTGGTCCCCGGGCATGGATAGATCTTAGGTGCCAACAACCTTGCTGTCCATAATATTACAATCGGGAAAATGCCATTGTCAAGGGTTTCATCATGGAAAATAATAATAACGAAACGATGTGCCATCAATTATGGCCATTGGCCAGCGTATATACAGATAAAAAATGCTAGGTGTACACATTTTTGTGTACACCATTGGCACACCAAATAAATAGTATCTTTAATTTTGTCATTTTCTCCTTTTTCCTCCCCCTCTGTCTGCGCCTCTTTCTTTCCGGTCCCCATTCCGCCTTCTTTCTTTTTCTTACGCTCATCTCCCTTCCCAAATCCCTATTCCGACCAACAAAACTCCAAATTCATCCCTGTTTCTTTTCTTTCTTCTACACCCTCTATCAAATGCATTCCTATTTTTCTTTCATCCTTTGATTTCCCTATAACTCCCCTCCGTCAGAAAAGCATATGGAGAATGACGTGAAGTTCCTCCAAAGGCAATCGGGGAAACCATTGTCTCACTATTTAGTTCCTCACTTTTAAGGTAATTTTAGGGTTCTTAATATCTATGAATTTTGTGAAAAAGAATGAGATTTTTCTCCTTTCTGTTAATACGAATTAGGGTTTCAAGTGTTTTTATTTTTTCTTGAATTTTTTATTTATTTACGAATTAATGTTTAGGTTTGACTATTATAATTTTAACTACTCCGTATTATAATTATTTATGTCTTCCGATTTTAAGTAAATTATACGGATGTTGAATTGCTGACTACTTTGTTTCATTGATATATGGTTGTGATGTTAATCATTGAGATTTTAGTCTAACTATTTTATTTTAGTTTATGCCCATTACATGTTTCTTGAAATGATTCAATGAATAAGGCTTGGATGTTTGTGGTGTGTGTAAGGTTTTGGGGAAGGGGGCTTAGTAGAGGTAAAGTAAAATAATAAGCTAATTCATGCTACTAAACTTGACTTTAATTTAACCAAAATCTACCAGCTATTTTCTCATTCATACATTCGAAGCCCATCACACTTCACAATTGAAGGCTTCTTTGGCTTAATTTTGGGTTATCATATACTATCATCAGAGTTGCTTCATAAAGAATTACTCCGTATCATATTCACTAGAAGAATAAAAATTGTGGAGTTTGAGGTAGTTGATCTGTTGGTCCCACTAACATTGATCATTATTTTCAATCTCTGTCGTAGAAATGTACTAATCAAGATTCCCTCCACATCTAATTTCAACCCTTGCACCTTTTTTCTTTATTGAGAATAATGTACTTGTAATATCTTTGTTAAGGGAAAGAGAAAAGAGTAATAACAATGCCAGATAGATGCTAAAATTAAAAAAACAGATTTAATGATTTGAATTTTAGTGCTTATTAGTTACTTTGTACGATTCAACAACAATTACAAAGGTCTTTTGATCTTTGAAATGATGTTCAACAAGAAAAGTCACAACTAACCCATTAAGTAGTATTTCTACCATTGATGTATTCAGTACTGAAATGATTTTCATATGCTCTTTGTACAATCTTTGTAGTCAATAGGTGTTATTATTCAGATATACTTAAAATATTTTGTTGTATTTGCAACTTCTTTCAAAGTCACTAAACAACTGATTGTGTAATTGATTGAACTTCACTTTATATTCTAGTAGATTGGGTTGAACGATAATTGTTGTTTTGGTGCCTCCAAAAATCTTCCGTGATGGATAACTAAATGTATCTCTTTATTAAATTTTTCATTTACATTTAATGTTGTTAACATTCAACTTTTTGTTTTTCGAGTACAAACTAATTTTTCTATCTATAATAGTTGTCTGTCTTCCGACAATAGTTATCTTTGTCCAGACAATTATTGTCTGTGACAAGAAAAAATACTCTTACAGATGTATATGTTGGAATAAGTTATTTTTATATGTGCCCAGGCGATGATTTTATGGCCGAGACAACTATTGTAATACATTGCTAGTGTGTAACTATTGTTAGTTATAATTTGTGTGTAAACAATTGGTGTGTGATATTACAATAGTTGTATGTGAATTGTCTGTGTACTGACAATATTCATACTCATACATCATCTTTGTACAAATTTTATCAGTACAAAACAATTTTATACAAGTTTTGTTTATGTATAGATAGTTTTTTTCGTTTTTTAAAAGCAATCGTTCGTGCCACCAATAAAAAAAGTTGTAAATATGAATCGTATGGCACAACTAAATAATATATGTTAGTCAGAACTCTTTTGTCAGGCCCAGACATGAATTGTCTAGGACAGACAAATTGTCTGTTAGGCAGAAATCTTTTGCCAAAACTAGATACGAAACGTCTGGCACAGACAAATAATGTCTGTTAGACAGAACTTTTTGGTTAGACCTAGACATGAATTGTCTCTGACAAACAAATATTGTCGGTTAGTCAGAACTTTTTTACCAAATGTCTGGCACAGACAAATATTGTCTGTTGGGTAGAATTCTACTTAGCATATACAAATATTTTGTCCACAGTAATCATGTGAAATGCACTTTAAGTTTCATTAGCATTTCATGGATTGCTAAGGATGAATCATCTCACATCGAAATAACAAATTTAAAGTTACAAACCAGCATATTTTCAAGCCAACGTTTTAGCTTAGAATAAGATATGAATCGTTCTGTTTACATTCTTAGAACTCGTGATTCTGGTCAGTAAATGACATAAACAGATTTACATCGGTGAATTAACTAGAACACTTTTCATAGTTATATCCAATGTAAAAGAAGAAATAAAATAAATTGTTAGCTCATTATCAGTAACTCTTTTTTTGGAAGCTCCATATCAAGCTTTTCAGTGCAATTGAAAACACTATTCTACATGTCAGCATTGTCATTTGGAGAAGCTAAATCATCCATAGCAGCTGACTACTTTTGTCTACTTCTTGTAGTTCCCACGCTTTAATTGTCTGCTTCTTTTAAGGTCAGCTTAAGAATATCTTCTGCCACCCATGGTTTCCTGCATTTTGGACCATAAATCTATTGAAGTGAGACCCAACTCCACAGCTAACTCGAGACACTGCTTTGCATACTCTCCTGTCACTGGATTTCTCCAGAGGGAAGAGGTGATGCAGCAAGAACAAAGTCCATCTAGTGTTATATCCACCATATCCACAATTCAAGATATCAGTTTAAGCTTCTAACATATCTATAACCACTATCTAATTTTATGCCCAATAAGGAATTATTTCTTTAGCCTTATACTTTATTGATCATGGTATCTCATCTAGCAAATAGAAAAGGGACAATGTCCTAGTTAATCTAACTTGAAACATAGTTTTCTTTGTTTTTCCTTACAAAATAGTTGAAATAAGGAGACATCACATTCTTTAAGTGTGTGCACTATCCAGTTGTATCCTCGTAAGAAATTACACTAACTTACCTTTCAAAATGGTTAAACCAAATATATTCACAAATGGAATACCTTGCTTAATATAAATTACATGATGAATAACGGTTTTACATCTCTCTCATGGTCTGTGGTTGCACTTTTAATTTCCATAGCTAAAAAATCTTCATTGAATCATTTCAATAAATTATAATATGAAATAAACAAAAAAAAACCATCAAATATAATATGATATAAAAAAAAATCATTGAATCATTTCAACAAACATGTTATGGGCATATTGATGACATAGAATAATTGGAGTAAATTTTCAATAATAAATATCACAAATCTTCACAATAACACAAAATAATCAAACATTCAACATTAAAAGATATACATATACAGAGTATTATTCATGAAATAAAAAATAAACAACAAAAGAATGAAGAAAATGGAAAGAATGGAGAAAGAGGCATACTAGAAGGAAAATGGTGTGGAAGAAGCATACTATTTGTGCTTTAAACCCTATTCGTATTAACACAAGGGAGAAAAAACTCATTCTTTTTCACAAAAGTCATAGATATTAAGAACCCTAAAATTACCTTAAAAGTGAGGAAGTGAATAGTGAGACAATGGTTTCCCTGATTGCCTTTGGAGGAACTTCACGTCATTCTCCATATGCTTTTCTGACGGAGGGGATTTATAAGGAAATCAAAGGATGAAAGAAAAATATGGATGGATTTGATAGAGGGTGTAGAAGAAAGAAAAGAAAAATTGGAGTTTTGTTGGTCGGATTAGGGATTTGAGGAGGGAGATGGACGTAAGAAAAAGAAAGAAGGTGGAATGGGGACGAGAAAGAAAGAGGCACGGAAAGAGGGGAAGGAAAAAGAAGAAAATGAAAAAATTAAAGGGGCTAGTTACTTAGTGTGCCAATGGTGTACACATGTTGTGTACACCTGGCATTTTTTATACAGATATACTTTCTCTTTTTACTTTTTAGTAGTTTCAGGATATGTTTCTTAAATTATGAATATAGTTGTATAGATAGGATAGTGAATAATGTAAAAGATTGTCAAAGTTGATGAATGTGTATGAAAATTTGAAAACGATAAAAAGTTAGGTGTGTTTTTCCCTGTTGGTACATGATAAGTCCGTATTTCAACATGCATTGGATGCGTGTTGAGATTGGTTTTTAATAGTTTTCCTAGTTTAAAATGTGTCACAACGCTCATAATTATTGCAAGCCATAGTTTACCAGGTCTTGGTGTGTTTTGGTATTTTTAGAATCAAATTCAGGGAATTAAGCCTGGCACCGACATTTGAGAAGGTATCGAGAAGAGTTGAGACGCATTTGAGAATTGATTAGGAGCATTGGAGGTCAACGAGGTGTTAAAAATGAGGTTTTTAGTTCAAAAGAGCCAAAGAATCGAACATATGAGCAATCACGGGCAAAAAGGAGTCAAAATGGCCAAAAATCAAGTTGGGAGGTCCGCACGCCAAGCGGACAGGACCCGCACGCCGAGCGGGCGACCCTGCAGTCCTAGATCAGCCCGAATTGATATGTTTTCTATTTAAGCAACATGTAAACCCCTTTTTACGATAACGGAGCTTAGAGAGAGGCCTATGGCGAAGTTTTGAGTACTTTTCCGCTTTGTTATTCAAGATCCTGGGATTATTTATAAGTTTCATCTTTTTAATTAATGACGATTAAGTCTTTGCATCCCAATTCTTTTGATTGCTCAATTATGAATTGTGAGTAGTTTTAATTAGGGATTGAGATTGATAAAGGGGTTGATCACGATCTAAGGTTATTTTCTTGAGGGATTAATTGCATGAATTTTATTTAATTTGTGTTTGAATGATTTAAATGATATCTCTTGTAACCTAGAAATGCAGCTAGGATTATAATTGCACATAGAATAAATGAAGAGAGATCTAATTTATTCTTGGACACCTTCACACACACTTAATCGTTCGCTAAGAGATTAGTAACGGTTAAGGGGCGTATGCTCGCTCGTTTTGACAATAATTTAGATTCTCATCACATGAGAGATCAGCCTGGTCCCCTAAATTACTATACTCTATGCCGCTAGAGCGGCTAGAACTTAGTATTGATTAGCGTTGCTCAATTAGATAATTTTCATGTGATTAAGCCTGATCAGCCATAGATCTA